GGAAGTGCTTGTTCAGTGAGGATATACGACCCCTAAAAGTAAACGGCCTTTGTTCCTATGTTGTCTATGAGAAAGAAATTCCTTTTACGACGGAGGACTGCGCACTGAGAAAGTAAGAAAGTAAACCATTAAAGAAAATCTTTTGGAATTTGAGGAGGGCAGTGCATAGTGAGAAAGCAAGTTAGACTTGGGTCACGCTCCTTGTCCAGTAGCCTCCCATGTGAGTGCTTGAGACCTGTCAAATTCGGTTCCACTCCTCATTAATTCATATCCGCTCGCCCCCACCTCAAGAACCCATTCACATTCACCCTCCAAATCCCAAAACCTTGCCTCTACTACTGAACGGACCTTTTGCAGTCTTGATTTTCGATCCAGATCCACAAGGAAAAAGAAGGAGAAGATACAGGTTAGCTTACCAACGAAATTCCCCCTTTTGACACATGGGGAATTTCGTCATAGCTCTTTTTGCTTCTCTTTTGTTGATTTTTACTGTTTGCAATGCTGGATCACTTGCTCCCAATTCAACCATTCATGGCCGGAAAATGTCGGCAAATGAATCAAAGGAAACGGGCATTGATGCAACAGAGGTGGCTCAGAAGAAGAAGCCCAAACTCTTAGAGGAAACACTTCCCAAAGAAATGAAGAAACCCTCGAATTCCTCTTCTGTGCTCAAATCTCAGCAAAAAAAGCTCAATTCGAGTTCAAATGAGTCGGATCTAGCTCACCTCTCGCCCCCCAAAAAAGCTCCTCTATTGCCCAAACCCAACTCTCCCAAGAACAAAACCACGCAATTGACGACCAAAAAGAAAGATTCCGGCGACCGGAAACCGCCTCCAACCAAAAATCCGGCGGCCCAAAAGCTAAAAACCCCAGAACCCAAGAAACCCTCCCTTGAACAGAAGCAAATTCCGGCTAAAGAAGTGCAGGAATCCAAGAAACCTTCGCCTGAAAAGAAACAAATTCCGGCAAAAGAAGTGCAGGAATCCAAGAAACCGTCGCCTGAAAATAAACAAATTCCGGCAAAAGAAGCGCAGGAATCCAAGAAACAGGCCCCCAAAACCCAAGTAGAAGACGACTACAATGACCTGATACAAGATTTCAGAGAATTTCCAGCTCGTTTCCAATCCACCGTTTTGCCCGAGCTCGAAAAGCTCTCCTCAAAATCCAAAGCTTATATCAACAAAGCAAACGAAAACATAGCCGAGGGCTTCAAGCCACTGATCGGCCACCACTACGCGCCGATAGTGGCCACCACCCTCTTCTGCGTCCTCTCTCTCCTCCCCCTCCTCCTCGCCTACGCTCTCTACCGCAAGCTCCGCCCCTACCTCACCTTGCAACACGTGTTGCTCTTCTCGCACGTATACCTCGCCCTCTACTTCTTAGCCCTGGCCATGGCTCGCTTGTCCACCGGGGTCGAGCCCTTGGGGTTCTTCTACGGCTCGGGGCGCTCGAGCTACGTGGCCACGCAGGTGGTCCAGGGGGTGGGCTACGTGGTCTACGTGGCGCTGCTCTTGGTGCACCTTTTCGTGGGCGCGGGTGCGAAGAGGGTGGCGGCTTTGGGCCAGGCGATGGTGGGTTTGGCGGTGGGGGTTCATTATTACGCGGTGGTCTGGCGGTGGGCGATGGTGCGGAAGGCGCCGAGGAGCGACTGGTGGGTGCACGTGGTTTACGCGGCGGGGTTTGTTCTGGCGTGTGTGTGCGCGCGGGTGCACCTTCGGGTTGGGAAGAAGGGGTATGGTCCGGCGGAGGACCAAGACAAGCAGAATTGAGGGCGAGATCCCGCAAAAAGTAGGGTAATGCCGTAAAGTCTGACCGCTAGAGAGAAAAAGGTTAGTGCCTCTAGAGAGAGAAAGACGAAGGTGTAAATCTGGAGTAGGGTTAGAGAGAGAGGCGCCTTTTTTCTTGTTTTGAGATTCCTTAAATTTGTGGCTTATTTTGTGAGAGATTTTGTGTCCCCTGTGAGAGAGAGCATTTATGTCCAAGTAATATAAGAGAGAAAAAAATATTTTCATGTGCTATTTACCTGTAAAATAGAGGGAGCCCACTTAGAAGAAACGGGTGGCCAACCCGGGTTATGATAATTAAAGTGGAGGGTGATTGTGATGGGGACCTGAGTCAAGTAAGAAGGCTGTAAGCCAATATTCAATGTATTGCCATTGAATTAATAAAAATGCTATGATTTTTACCAAGAGACTTGTAAAATCACATATTCCATGGCATTTTTTTGATGTTGTGTGTGAGAAGGTTTTGACAGTGTGATGGGATTCAACTGAGTTACTCGGCCTCACCCTATACACGATATGAGTTTTTTTTTTGGTGTGTTGTACATACATGAATATATAATTTATTATATATCAATTTTAAGTCCTAAATGCTGAAATAGCTTTTTGGTGTTCATTGGGCCTTGTGGTGGAGGCTCGCACCCGAGTAATTTGCTTCGGTCAGGAGGCGAATACCACAGCGCTGTACTCAGCTCAACCTTGGGATTTGGCTCTTGCCGAGCCGGATAACTTGACAAGTCCAAATGGAGTTACTCAAGTGTTGTACGCGCATGGAAATACTGTAGAAAAAACCAGAGAAGTGAAAGTCCCAAAATTTAAAAAAAAAAAAGCAAAGAAAAGCAGAGGAGATGGATAAAAATTAAAAAAGAGGGAGGGAAAAGCAGAGGAGATAGATAAAAATAGAAAAAGAGGGAGGAGGGAGGGAGGGCGGGGGGGGAGAGGCGGACATTTTTGTACCCCTTTGAGAGAGAGAGAGGATTTAAGCCCTTTTATATATTGGCAAGAAACAGGAAGGATTTAAGCCCTTTTTATATAGCGGTAGAGAGAGAGGTGAATAGGAGGAGGCAGATTTTATGCCCCTCGTTATAGAAAAGGGAGAGATTTATGCGATCTACTCTAGAGAGAGAGATGAATGAAATAAGGGAGGCATTGCCTATCTATTAACAATAGGCAACCCCATACATATTCATCATTCACTTGTGTACTATGCAGTTCCATGTACCTAGGGGTGACCCGACCGGGACCAGTCCCCTGACTCGACTTGTTTATAAGGGATCCAAACTTAAATTGGACCCGATCCAAAAATAAAAATATCTATGTATTTAAATATATTTCATAAACATATTAAATATATGTATTATTTAATTACTATTATAATTATATATATTTATTGATATATATATATATATATATATATATATATATAGTCATAATAATAAAATTCAGGTCGGGTCTATATAAATTGGACCTGGACATGGAGCTGAGTACTATTCGGGTCTAAGATTTGGACCCAAATCAAAATTGCCAAGTCCAAATTTTGGACCCATATCCAGACGGCTAGACCTAGGTCAAGTCTAGCTGTTGGGTCTCAAGTTGGGTGTGGCTCTAGGTCCATTGCCATCCCTAGTGGCCAGCATGATTTTCTGAGCATCAGACTTCCCTAAACTTCGCTTTGGCATTGTCCGATATTACTGCTCTAGACTTCAAAATATTTTGGAAGTTTTGATTATTCACCCGTTAGGTGTTCCATTTATCAAATTACTCACTCTATCCAATATTCAGAACATGACCCCCTGAGACCAACCAAAAACAATTGTTATTGAATTGCAAACATTGGATAGGAAAGCAAAATTGGAGGGAAAAAAAATGAGAAAAGGGTGAAAGGGGTGGACCTTAGCATAAAATATTTGAAAATATGGATTATAACATGGTATCCTATGTTTTATGAGGTGCGCACGTAATTTTTCCAAAAATGTAATACATAGAACGAATACTTTAGCCAACGAATGTGTGCCGAAAACAAGTCCAACGGTCAAGAAATTACGAGAACAATGGGAAAAGAATGTTGTATGGTTACCAATTTTTTTTTGGGATTTTTACTCCCATTTTGTGTAAAATTCCCAGGAAACTTGATATATCAAAGGTAAATGGTCACATTCTATACTTTTAGCCACTTATTCTATGGTAAATGGTCTCATTCTATGCTTGGTCAATGGAATAATTGTAGCCACCCAATTTCACATCTAATGGTCAAGATTAATTTGATCTCTTTATATCAAAGATAAATTGTCTCATTCTATACTTTTTCAGTATATAAATATCAAGTTAACAATTAGAAAAAAAGGGGCTGAATTTTGATAGACGAATCGAGTGTTTGTTTGCTCGTTATGAACAAGTCATACAGGTTTTTTTTCCTTTTAGACCTTACTCACATTTAACAGTGTTTTCAAATAGGGACTATATA